GAGGTGGCTGCGCGGGTGCCGTGGACGAACTGGTTTAGCGCCGTTACGTGGGAGCCAACGAATTCCCTCTGCCATGCTCTTTTGTGTTTTTTTTTTCTTTGTTCGCCTATTCCCACAACCACTACTATCGTCGGTTTTATTTTTTTTTCTCCCGCAATGGATGCGGCAATAGCACAACCCGCTGGACGACGGCAAGGTCGGGGTGAGAGGAAGAGGAAGTGAGAGACCACGCAGTTGGAGTGTCAACGTTTCCACCTTTTTCCCTCTTGCTTTTTTTCTGTGCCTTGGGTCTAAAACAAAATGTAGAAAGAGAGGCAGGGCAATTTAGGCTGCGAAGAAGGCAACGGTCCTGGTTTCTTCTTGTCTGTTTTCGTTCCGTTCCCACACTGACGCGGTTGTGCATTCCAAACCGCGGTGGAGGAAACGTGGTGTGACGGACGAAGCGGCGAGGAACACAGCCAAGGCTGGAAACCCCAATGATTTGTCGTTTTTGGTTGTTTGCTCCTTACCGTCGCAGCAACGCATGCCTGTGGGCGCGGCAGTGGTGGACATGTCGATGCCCGCCTTCCCCCTTGCACTGAGTGAATGGTGGGCGTTGTCTGGGAGTCGTTTGTTTGTTTGTTTCTTTTTGTGTTTTCCGTTCCCCTTGGCTGTGCATTTTTCGCGTTTTGTCTGTGTCTTTGTGTGTGGTTCAAATGTCCAAAAAAAAAAGAAGGGAAAAACCTCGATTCACACGAGCTAAAGTTAAGCTACCCAAGCAACAGCATTATTGTCAGTTGAACTTCATCGTCAAGAATGCTTCGCCGTTCCTTTTTACGCATGGTTGGCCTGAACAAGGTTATGCCGTTGGAGAAGGCCCTTGCCGACGTCAAGAATGGAGCCTCACTCGCCGTTGGCGGTTTTGGAACGGGTGGCATGCCACACGCGCTTGCAAAGGAGCTTAAGCGCACTGGTGTCCGGGACCTCAGCATCTACAGCGATGGTGGCGGTATTGATGGCTACGGCATTGGTCTGTTGTTTGAGGATAAGCAAATTAAGAAGATGATCGTAAGCTACGTTGGCAACAACAAACTTTTTGCACAGTCGTACCTGAAGGGTGATGTGGAGCTGGAGTTTTCCCCACAAGGCACCCTTGCCGAGAGGATGCGTGCAGGTGGTGCTGGCATTCCTGCTTTTTACACCGCCACAGGGTTTGGCACGGTGGCGCAGACTGGCGGCCAGATCACGAGACACAATCCGGATGGTTCCGTCGCCTGCGAGTCTGCTCCGAAGGAGACGCGCTTTATGGACGGTCGCTGGTACGTTATGGAGCGCGCCATCCGCACCGATTTCTCTCTTGTGAAGGCGTGGAAGGGGGATCGGAGTGGTAACCTTGTGTTCCGTGGTACCTCCCGCAACTTCAACGTCCCCGTTGCTCAGTGTGGCCACACCGTTGTTGCGGAAGTGGAGAATCTTGTGGAGAACGGCGAATTGGACCCGCATGATGTGCACCTGCCGGGCGTTTACGTGGACCGCGTCGTGGTACCTGAACGGTACGATACTTGGATTGAGAAGCGCACGATCTCACGTTCCCAATCCACTGAGAAGCGTGCAGCAAAAACACCGGAGGAGGAGGCCCGCCAACGCATTGCTCGCCGCGCTGCACTCGAGTTTTCCGACGGCATGTATGTGAATTTGGGAATTGGCATCCCGACAGAGTCCGCCAATTACATCCTTTCCGGTGTGAATGTGGTGCTGCAGTCTGAGAACGGCCTTCTCGGTATGGGCCCCTTCCCTGAGGAAGATAAGGTGGATTGCGATTTGATCAATGCAGGTAAGCAGACCATCTCGTACCTCCCTGGTGCCGCCTTGTTTGACAGTGCAACCTCCTTTGCAATGATTCGTGGTGGTCACATGGACCTCACGATGCTTGGCGCTCTTGAGGTAAGTGGCAACGGAGATCTCGCCAACTTTATGATTCCCGGCAAACTGGTGAAGGGCCCTGGGGGCGCGATGGATCTTGTGTCGAGCGGGGCACGCGTTGTTGTGACGACATCGCACTGCAACAAGAAGGGTGTTCCTAAGATCGTCGAACGCTGCAAATTGCCGGTGACTGGCAAGAATTGTGTCAACCGTATTATCACCGAATTTGCTGTCTTTGACGTGGAGAACGGCCAGCTCGTGCTGAAGGAGGTCGCTGAGGGCGTCAGCGTAGAGGAGGTGAGGAAGATGACAGATGCCCACTTCCTTGCAAAAGATGTGAAGACAATGCCGCTGGCGCCCGTTCCGCCAGGCATGATGTAATGTCCCGTATTTGTTTTTGCCGTCCCTCACTCTTAGTATCTGCATCATTCTTATTGCCTCACGCCCCGGCCTCTCCTCCCCTGCTTTGTTTAGCCCCCCACCCCCCCTCCCTCCCTACACACTATGCGCGGCATGTGCCATGGCAATCTAGCGGGCCGCTGGGCATTTCGTGCATGCATGGTAAGGGGTGGGGGGTGGGGGGAGGCGGGGAGTGAGAGAGAACGAAAGAAGGGAAGGGGAGGGGGCTGCGTTGGTCGTGGGGCACGTGCACCCGCATGCCCTGAAGTTGATATGATACCCCAACAGTCGCACACAGTGCAATATGACAAAGCGAAGGATTTTTAAAAAAAATGGCAAAAGTAGAGAAAAGCACACATTTTTGGAGGTGTGGAAAATGATGTGAACGGGTCATTCAATTAAGCAGCAAGAAACACACATGCCGTTCTCCACTCCCCCTAGCTCCACCGAATTGTTTTTATATTTATTCTTTGTTTCTGTGTTTATGTAGCTTGTTTTTTCTCACACTTTTTCCTACCATTACTGCTGTTTTTGGTGTCGCTGCTGTGTGCCTCCCTGCGGCTTTTCCGCGTGGGCCGAGGCTCTCCTGCAGTGGAGGCGTGCACCCTTCCAAGCACCCCGCAGCAGCGGCGGGCAAAAATATACGTGCTGGTGTGAGGCGAAGAGAGAAGGGGGGAAACAGGAAATTCGAGGGAAATGCACAGAGAGAGACCACGTTGCGGGTGTGGAGGGGCCCATCCCCCATGCATGCGTATGCCTCGTGTATTTAACCAACAGCGGCGCACCCACACCGCGACGTGTGACTCACGAACAGAAAAAAAAAACAAAAACGGTAAAAAATAATTGAGTCAAAAGTGGGACGTTTTGTGTTTGTTACTGAGTCGCCAAGGGAAGCCGGAGACGAGGCAGATTTGTGCGCGTTGCTCCCAGCAATCACACACACACCCTCACCCAATAACCTCGTGTGCGGCTTGGAAGAAGGTTGAATGTTGATAAATAAGGTGCATGGAGGCAAAACAGTCAAAACAAACTAAATGGACAAAAGATAGAGACCGGAAGTGTAAAAGCGTAAAGGTTTGTGTGAATAAAATAATTAATTTTGTCGGTGACCTTTCAGCTGGACCGCCACTACTCTGTGTACCCGCAATGTGTGGACAAGTTGGCGAGGGGTGGGAGGGGGATGAAAAAGAGGAAGAGCCAGTGGAAGCTGCGGAGGAGATAATTTTAAGGTATATTTTATTTACATTTTATTTTATTTTTCTTTGTGTGGGTCCTTGTTTATAAGTCGATGTGGGTGGCGAGGCCTAATAAAGTGAGTCGTACTGATCCTGTTCACGAGTGACTGTCACCGGCACTACGACTGTTCGGTAATCATCAGCAATGCGGTAGAAGGCCACTGCCTTGTTGAGAGAGGGGGATATACGCCAACTGAGAGGGAGTAACACTGCTGGAGTGGAAATGTTATACTCAGGCATGGCCTAATACGGCAGCGGCGGAGGGAGAGGGAGAGGGAGATGGAGATGGAGGACTACTGGGAAGGCACGCCGGTCCATGGCCAGGACGGGGTGAACCCGCGCGAGGACAAAACTTCCCACCGCAAGCATGAGACTTGTTAGTGGGGGGGGGGGGGAGAGGTGGCTGCGCGGGTGCCGTGGACGAACTGGTTTAGCGCCGTTACGTGGGAGCCAACGAATTCCCTCTGCCATGCTCTTTTGTGTTTTTTTTTCTTTGTTCGCCTATTCCCACAACCACTACTATCGTCGGTTTTTATTTTTTTTTCTCCCGCAATGGCTGCGGCAATAGCACAACCCGCTGGACGACGGCAAGGTCGGGGTGAGAGGAAGAGGAAGTGAGAGACCACGCAGTTGGAGTGTCAACGTTTCCACCTTTTTCCCTCTTGCTTTTTTTCTGTGCCTTGGGTCTAAAACAAAATGTAGAAAGAGAGGCAGGGCAATTTAGGCTGCGAAGAAGGCAACGGTCCTGGTTTCTTCTTGTCTGTTTTCGTTCCGTTCCCACACTGACGCGGTTGTGCATT